AGTGTGTAAATTCCGTGAGGTCATACTATATCATGCCTGGAGGGAGTCTTAGTGCTCGCCCATCCTTAATGACAACTCTAAAGCCTTAGAAAAGGCCAATGAGTGGACCAGGGGGGACAGCAGTGAAATTAATTCCTCATATGTCTGTAAGACTTTAAGGTGTACAATATATTTTCCTCTTTATTTTGTGTGCTCTCATCATGGAAATAAACAGACTATTTTTTTTTAAATTTTTTATTACAAAGGGTATTACATATGTGTCCATTTTTCCCCCCCGCCCTAGACAGTCCCCTAGCCTCCCCTATCCCCCAGTGTCTTATGTCCATTGGTTATGCTTATATGCATGCATACAAGTCCTTTGGTTGATCTCTTACCCCCCTACCTCCTGTCCCTGTGGGTGACTGAAGTACAGTGCCACTGGGGACTCTAAGGAACTATGGAGAGTGTGGCTGGGGATTGTCCCCACAAAGGAGGGGAGGCTGGGATGGGCCTGCATGAGCTGGGTGGCATTTCGTGGATATGCAGGAATCCTGAGGCAGAGAATCAGGGAGGCGTTTGAGATGGGAAGTGGCACCACCCAGCCCCACTGCCAAGCACTGAGACAGGTTGGCGGAGGCCTGTGGGAGCCCAGAAACCCTCTGCTGCAGGAGGCGGGCCTTGCCTTGGTTGAAGTGTGGCAAACATCAGACCATACTGTGCACACAGAATCACATCCATTGCAAACTGAAATCAGAGATCTGGCAAAAGTTATTTCAGAACATTGACGGAAATGATGGGGACCTTCTGAGATCATGGGCAAAGCCTCTGAGTGGTTAAAGATGGGGAAAGAAATCCGTGGTTCTAACAATTCTATGGACACTTCAAAAGAGGACACTTTGATGAAAAAGAGGCCACTGTGAACATTGATAGAACACTCGAATAATTTTTCAAAATTTCCTGTTAATGGTTGTGCTGTAAATGTGAAATTTAAAATGATGGATTTGTTGAGACTGTAGCATATGATTCTGGGAAAAAATTATGCCATCTTCCTTACACTCCCAAGAGTTGTTTCTTCTAAGAGTTGGTGCAGGGTTTTGATAATATTCCATACTTAATTTAAAACATAAGCTAACAAAGTTGTTTTTATTATTGAAATATTTTTCAAGATGTAGTTTCAACCAACTCCTCTGTGGCAGTTTCTATGGAAGTAGGCCCTGATTTTTCATAGGTTCCTTCTGAGCGGCTTTTCGTTCTGTTTTCTGATACCAAGCAGCTTCTGTGTCGATCTCATTTTGTTTTGTGAGGATTAAATGCGATACCACATGCACACTGCCTCTGTGCCTGGGTCTCCATCCTCCCCGTACTTCCATAGACACTGGAGAGCCAGGGGAACTTGCTGGTGGCTGGAATGGGCCATCTGAGCATCTCCATCCTTTTATTGGTCCTTGCCACCACCTAGAGCCATGACACTTGCTTGGTGGTACCTTAGCCTGGACTGTCCTCCTTAGGTAGCACCCTACTTACCAGCCCTTCACCATCCTGGGTTTCTCCTTCTCAGCATCCTGCTCTTTGCTTGGTATGAATTCCTGCTCTTGTGCTAAAGGGGAAAGATGGGTTATTGATCATGACCTATGGGGATGATGTCTTACTGTGGCTGTTCTACTCATTGATAGAATTTAATAGGTCTGGGAGGGTTGAGTATGAAGAAAGGATATTTTGGGCTCAGATGCCCTTAGTTCCTTCAAATTGCACAACATGATTTCTTGACTCTAGACCAGGGGTGGGCAAACTTTTTGACTTCAGGGCCACGATGGGTTCTTAAACTGGACCGGAGGGCCGGAACAAAAGCATGGATGGAGTGTTTGTGTGAACTAATATAAATTCAAAGTAAACATCATTACATAAAAGGATACGGTCTTTTTTATTTTTAGTTTTATTCATTTCAAACGGGCCGGATCCAGCCCGCGCGCCGTAGTTTGCCCCCGGCTGAGCTAGTCCCACCCACCCACTCCAGCCTTCCCTGGTTATGCTTATATGCATGCATACAAGTCCTTTGGTTGATCTCTTACCCCCCTACCTCCTGCCCGCCAACCCTCCCCGGCCTTCCCGCTGCAGTTTGACAATCTAGTAAACAGACTATTGATACTGAGTCTCAGATGAGCACAGCACATGGTCAGAAAGCACAGCCATGTGGGTGACTTATTTAACATATACAGCCGCCTGGTACTGTTCATCCCCTTCACAGTTTACGGAAGGAAGCAGAGGTTCGAAACTGTGAAGCCTCCCTGGGTTTGTAGAGCTGGCGAATGAGGGGCCTTGAACGTGAACTCTGGCTTGACTCTGCTGCTCAGTAGCTGCGGGGTCTCCTGCTAGTTACCTGCATTCTCCCAGCCTCAGTACCTTTCCTGTAACGTAGGGAACTGATCATTCGGGAGGTCCTCCTTATCGGAGTATGTATTTATTATATAGTTCTCTGCAGTTAGGACAATTGTGTAGAGAAGCAAAAATCATAGAAAATGCAGTTTTCGCAAATGAATTGATTACTTACAAAACCAGGCCCCACTCAAGAGCCCTTCTTGCTCAATATGGCTTGCATCTCCGGTTGGGTTTCCTGTCACAGAAGTGTCTTTGTGGGTGTCTTTATCTGGGTTCCCCTGAAAGCAGAACCTGCAACCAGGAGTTGGGTACAGGTAGACTAAGGGGTGGGGAGAGAGAGACACACAAGAAAAGGGGAGATGTTGAACTGGGTGTCCCTGTGGATGACTAAAAAGGGGAGACATTGAACTGGGTGTCCCTGTGGGTGACTGAAGTTCAGCACCACTGGGGACTCTAAGGAACTATGGAGAGTGTGGCTGGGGATTGTCCCCACAAAGGAGGGGAGGCTGGGATGGGCCTGCATGAGCTGGGTGGCATTTCGTGGATATGCAGGAATCCTGAGGCAGAGAATCAGGGAGGCGTTTGAGATGGGAAGTGGCACCACCCAGCCCCACTGCCAAGCACTGAGACAGGTTGGCGGAGGCCTGTGGGAGCCCAGAAACCCTCTGCTGCAGGAGGCGGGCCTTGCCTTGGTTGAAGTGTGGCAAACATCAGACCATACTGTGCACACAGAATCACATCCATTGCAAACTGAAATCAGAGATCTGGCAAAAGTTATTTCAGAACATTGACGGAAATGATGGGGACCTTCTGAGATCATGGGCAAAGCCTCTGAGTGGTTAAAGATGGGGAAAGAAATCCGTGGTTCTAACAATTCTATGGACACTTCAAAAGAGGACACTTTGATGAAAAAGAGGCCACTGTGAACATTGATAGAACACTCGAATAATTTTTCAAAATTTCCTGTTAATGGTTGTGCTGTAAATGTGAAATTTAAAATGATGGATTTGTTGAGACTGTAGCATATGATTCTGGGAAAAAATTATGCCATCTTCCTTACACTCCCAAGAGTTGTTTCTTCTAAGAGTTGGTGCAGGGTTTTGATAATATTCCATACTTAATTTAAAACATAAGCTAACAAAGTTGTTTTTATTATTGAAATATTTTTCAAGATGTAGTTTCAACCAACTCCTCTGTGGCAGTTTCTATGGAAGTAGGCCCTGATTTTTCATAGGTTCCTTCTGAGCGGCTTTTCGTTCTGTTTTCTGATACCAAGCAGCTTCTGTGTCGATCTCATTTTGTTTTGTGAGGATTAAATGCGATACCACATGCACACTGCCTCTGTGCCTGGGTCTCCATCCTCCCCGTACTTCCATGGACACTGGAGAGCCAGGGGAACTTGCTGGTGGCTGGAATGGGCCATCTGAGCATCTCCATCCTTTTATTGGTCCTTGCCACCACCTAGAGCCATGACACTTGCTTGGTGGTACCTTAGCCTGGACTGTCCTCCTTAGGTAGCACCCTACTTACCAGCCCTTCACCATCCTGGGTTTCTCCTTCTCAGCATCCTGCTCTTTGCTTGGTATGAATTCCTGCTCTTGTGCTAAAGGGGAAAGATGGGTTATTGATCATGACCTATGGGGATGATGTCTTACTGTGGCTGTTCTACTCATTGATAGAATTTAATAGGTCTGGGAGGGTTGAGTATGAAGAAAGGATATTTCGGGCTCAGATGCCCTTAGTTCCTTCAAATTGCACAACATGATTTCTTGACTCTAGACCAGGGGTGGGCAAACTTTTTGACTTAAGGTCCACAATGGGTTCTTAAACTGGACCGGAGGGCCGGAACAAAAGCATGCATGGAGTGTTTGTGTGAACTAATATAAATTCAAAGTAAACATCATTACACAAAAGGGTACGGTCTTTTTTTTTTTTAGTTTTATTCATTTCAAACGGGCCGTAGTTTGCCCACAGCTGGGCTAGACCCAGAACTGAGGTTTGTCTTCACTGGCCCTGTGAGAGCTGATCCACCTTAGACAACTTATAATTTAAGATTCTTGAAAACAGAGGGGAAGTGACTTACACAAGGTCTGGCCATTGGCTATGGTGTCGGTGTAGGGACCAGCATCTGGAGCTCCCGTCCTTCGGTGTAGTGTTAGAACTCTATGCTATGCTGTGTGTTCATATGACTTGCCCTGAAATATTTCATGTTTATAGTATTTAAATTTTTTCTCATTATGAATACGTCCTATTGCACAGCTGAAAATCTGGTTGAAAAAAGTCTAGAAGTCATTAGATCAAAATTTCAAAAGCAAGGAATCTTAAATTCTACAGCCTTAGAGTTTGGATGTCAGAATAACAGACTAGTAAAACATACTGTCTCTGACAGTCCCAGCTACTCGTGACCTTGTGCAAGTTGTGGCAGGCACGTCACTTAATCTCTCCACACCCATGTTCCTGCCTATGTAAAACCTTAGCATCTTGAGTCATAAAGATTTAGAGTGTATGACTCTTTAAATCTTAGCATTACCAAGTCATACATTAGTCAGCTGGTTCATAGGTTCTTAAATGGAATTCAAACTTCATTGTATCATCTTTAATGACCAAAATGGAAAAAGAGAGGAATGATTAGGATGGCTTTCATTTTTCCCATTCATTCTTCCATGCATCCATCCATTCATCTATCCAAGCATGCATTCCCTCATGCTTGCACACTCTTATTCATTCATCATGCATTTCCTTATGCATGCATCTGTTAACCCATATCTAAATCCTCCTCTTCGACAGGCCCTGGGAAGATGACCCCATCCTCAAGGAGCTCTCAGGCTCCCATTGTAGACTTCCTGGAGTAATTGTCTGTTTTCTCTGACTGTGTCAGTCTCCCCTGCAGTGACAATGTCTCAGGCTTCAACGTCCTCGGACTTGGTAGCAATTACTTGCCACGTGCAGAGATTCTATCCACAAAGTGTGCAACTCACCTGGCTGGAGAACTGCGATACATTCAAGGGAGCTGAGCCATCCACACCCAAGAAGAATGTTGATGGGACCTACACCCTGGAAAGCTTGCAGTGGGTGAATGCATCAGGGCACGGGTCTGAGAGGGTATTCACCTGTAAGGTACAGCATGAGGCACAGCCTCCCATCTGGGCCAACCTCATACTGTCCCCAGCAGCCCACGGGACATACAAGCCCATTGAAAGCCCAGGTAAGCTCACTTCTTCTCCTATGAGCAGCTGGGTCACCTCTGGGTCACCTCCCTCTCTTGAGTGGGTTCCAAAAGGCATAGGGAGGGGGTGTAATGGTTAAAGTTTTGCCCAACTTAAGAGTCTGTGATTTCTTGATAACGAGACTGGCTTCTGGCCTGCCTCTTCCTTTAGATGTGGCCATCATGAAAGGTTCTTTCATTTCTGAGGAGAGAACAGTCTCCCAGCTCAGCCTCCTTGAAAATTCCCAAGAGAGCTCAGCTTAGGATGCTCACTAGTTATTCTGAGATGGTCTTTAGCAATGATCTCTCGTTAAAATAGTGTCTTTGGGTTACATGAAGAGACTGGTCCACCAACCTTACCCTGTGAACCCCATGATGTCTGCTCTGATGACAGAGCAGACTTTTTCACTATATTCTTGTCCAGGTACTTAACCTCTCTGTGCTTCCGTATACTCATCTATAGATGAGTCTAATGTAGTGTAGATGGGTCACATGAAGGCTCCTAACTAATAGAGTCCTTATGAGGATTAAGTGAATTAATATATGTAAACTCTACATATGTGTCTACAATAAATCTCAGCTACTATTACTACTTGAATTTCAACAAAATTATTTTAAAGGTTAGTTTACAGTAATTGTAGCTTTGTAAATGGAGGGAACTGAGTCAATTATCTTCTCAGAGCCCCCAGATAATTCATCTATAAATGGTGTTAATGATACCAACCTCCTAAGTTTGTATAAAAGTTTAATTTGAATGACCACAGGCCTTGAGGACACGCAGCTTTATACTTCCAGAGATTTTTACCTCTGGACATTGACACGTTAGCTGGCCGTGTGATAGGTGTTCAAAATCAATATTGGTTGACTTAAATTCAAGGTGAGGCTAAAAGATCAAGATCATCACGTATTCCAAGCGGAAGCTGAGTGTAGAGAAAAGAACATGGGCTTGAAACCAGATAGAATTGGGTGCAATTAGTGGTTCAGAAACTTCCTGGCAACATGACGTCAGAGGAGGTATTTAAACGCACAGAGCCCCAGTTGATGTCTCCTTCTGCCCATGTGGTATTTAGGTCCAGAGATACCTGCCCTTGTATTTGTGGCTTTCCTCCTGGGCCTCAAGCTGCTGCTGGTGACAAGTTTCACAGTCACCTACATCCACAGGTGGTGGAACCTGTAACAGGTAAATTGGGGGGAGGCCTTAGTCATGAGGGAGGAGGTCAGGGCCATTGTCAGGGGCTGACAAGAGGAGTCCAGGGCATACCCACAAAGTCACATGGGTTCTACAAGGTGATCCAGCTTCAAGAAGTTTGTGAACACTTATTTTCTCCAAACGGCTCTTGGAATTGTAAGAGCTTTTAATTCTCATGCATTTTGTAGTGCCCTGGTGTTTGAAGGTTTTCAAATTCAGTTCCTTGGGACCCCAGAGTGTACAAGTGGGATGAAGGCCAAAGCTTTGAGACCCAGTTTGGGTCTCAAAGAGTCCCCCCATAAATTACTATATATTTTGGTTTTTATATATCTTCAGAATGAATAAGAAAGTATTGGCAACATCAACTGATACAGTGGTTCTCAACCTTCCTAGTGCCGCAACCCTTTTAATACAGTTCCTCATGTTGGGGTGACCCCCAATTTCATTGTTACAAATTGAACATAAAGCATAGTGATTAATCACAAAAACAATATGTAATTATATATGTGTTTTCTGATGGTCTTAGGCGACCCCTGTGAAAGGGTCATTCGACCCCCCAAAGGGGTCGCGACCCACAGGTTGAGAACCGATGAACTAATATATAGAACTTTGCAGGAGCTGACTGGAGGCAAGGAATGGAAGAGAGTTCAGATCTCAGAAAGAAGTGTTGGAGTGTAGTGTTAGGGGCTTCATTTCCGATCTACATCATGAACTCAGGCCAACCAGAGTGCCTGTCACTTAGCAGATGCTCAATAAATGTTTATGAAATGAATGAATGAATGTTTTTCCCTACGGCCCCTGCCTTCACCAAAGGCCTCAATTGGAGGGAAGAAGCTGCAAGGACCTGCCCCTTACCCGAGACCCCTGCTCCTTACTCTGCCAGCCCCACCTGCACAGGAGCTGCCTCTACACCCTCCTGATGTTGCTTCTCTCTGATAATAAAGCTGAGTCAAGGATGGCCTTCGGTCACAGAGACTCATGGATGTCTGGACCTTGATGCATTGAGCTTCACACTGGCCCTGCCTCCACCCAAAGCAGAACCAGGAACATGAAGAGAACAAGGTTCACCTCCCCTGACCATAAACAACCCTTAATATTCCGAGCAGATTTTACTTTTATCCAGAGCTCTGCCAGTATACTTTTATTTTAACAAACAGATATTTGAAATCACTAAGTTGAATAAGCATTTTACTATTTTGAAATATATAAAGAATATTAATGGTATGCATGGACCTACCATCTCTCTTTACAAAACATTC